CAATGTTTTGTTAAATTAGTTAGATTTTTGAAACGTTACCATTACATGTAATTAATTAATTTTTAACTTCAGTATGAATGACTATCGTGGTTGAAACACTTTTTAAAAAATTATGAATACTCAATTAACATTTTTGCAGGAAGTCTTTGACAATAAACATACTTTGTCTGATCTAACTTTTAATGCATCTACATAAAAAACTTTTTCTTTCAATTTAAACAATACGAACAACACAAAATGTATTAATTACTATTTTTTTATTTAAATGTTTTCTTGGTTGCCTATATGATTACATATTTATTTGTTTAATTGTATAGCAATATTTTGAATCATAAATAATATATATATATTTTTTAAAACTTATTGATTGAAAAATATTACAATCTGTCTCAAAGAACATTTATAATAGTGTTTAGAGATCACGTTCACACTCTATGTACAATATATAAAATAAAGTAAAGTAAATAAATTATAATCATAAATAATATGTTATTTATTAAACACTAATAATAATACATGCTGGTGAGCCCATGCGAATAATTCGCTTTGATCATTGATAAGTGAACAAACGACAAAATAATAAGGAAATAAAATAATAAAACGTAACAAATGATGCAGGAATCAATTCTTATTTTCTCGGCAATTATATTCGACCAAGAAAAAGAAAAACATTTTAAATTTCATTCGTGTTTTAAACCAACGTGATTACAAATTATAGGTGTATCTTAGCTAATAATGGCCCGATTTCGATGACCTTTCCTTTGTTTTGTAGAGACTTTAGTAATCTTTTAAATAATAATAGGTGAAATATATGAAACAATAAAATGTATATAGTTTGAGTTATTCGCAAATAAAGTTTATTTTGCTTCATACATTTTTTCCTCTGAAATTTGGGGGAATATAACTATTTTTCCTACCTAAAGGAGAATAAAATCTTAAAATAAGTGCTCATCCTTGGATTTGATCAACTATTAACGGAAATATGGCGCACCGAAAAAAAATATAGCTTTGAGGTTATATTATATAATACAATCTCTTATTATAGTTATTCAGCCGTTTCCAATTAATACTATGATATACTTATTCCTCTTAGATTATTTCTAAATATTTAGTTTAGTAATCATTACAATAATTTTTAAAATTAGGAACTAAGTGACGTTTTGTTGGTTAGTTCATATTTTGTGAATTGCGAATGAGCAAGTAAAATCCTACATACTATTATTAATTTTAAATAAATAAAGAATTATAAATAAATTTATAATTCGTTATTCTAAGTAAATTTTTCCTTAGTACGAAATTAGAATGTTATTGTTCTATGGTCATACCTTCATATAAAAAACGGACATACATACATATATTATTACAGTAAGACTCGAAATCGTTTTTGTACCAAATATAAACTCCTGTCATGCTCAAATACCACGAATGGGGTACCGTTGGATTCAGAATTTCACGGAGGGTTAGCGAATCTTATTCTCCACTTTTGTTTTTCTTTCTAAAATAAAAAAAGTTGATACAAACATTTTGCTAGGCGTCGATAATGGAACGGTGGTAGGTCTGTAGATCGATACGGGACAAATTGGATCTTAGAGATTTTGATGCGTACAGCCATACCCGGATAGTTCCTTCGGAACTATCAGATGCTGCGTTTTTAAGCCGAAAACGTACTATTTTTGAGATAACGCAAGGCATAGGGTTCGCATCCACACAACCTTACATTAATTGTAGTACTGTCATTGAATAAATGTCTCATTTCGTCGACTTGAGGTCTCTATGATCGAGAGAGGGGTAGTTTATATTATTCATCGATGGTGTTTTTGATCGGCAAGCCATATCATCGTTAATTTTTCACCAAATCTCAAGATTGAGCCACCAATTTCGAAGGCTTCCTTCTCATTCAGGCTGGCAAAATAGTCTAATCACCCAGAAAATTCAGGCAAACAAGTTATGAAAGAAAATAAACTTTATTTGCAAATAACTGAAAAATTACACACTTTTCCCTCGGTTATGCCCATAATTATATAAGAGATTACTAAATTCCCAACAAAAGGAAAAAAAAAATCATCGCAATCGGACAATTTTTAGCAAAGATACAGCTTACTGAAATTTGTATACATGTTGGTTCCAAACAAAAATGAAGATTTAAATTAATTTTTGTTTGTTTTGTGGATAATATTTATCGATAAAGTAACATTTGATGTCTTAATCTTTTGATAAGTTGCATTTTCTTATTAATTTGGCATTTGATAACAATATGCTGTGCGAATTTTTCGCACGGGCCTACTAGTATGTAATTAATATGACAACTGTAATTTTCAAAAAGTGGAGAAAAAGTCTTTTTTTTTATATATTAAACTGAAACTGTTTTTAATTATTGCATTTAAGAATATTCAAGTTGAATCATGAAAAAAAAAATCATTAGGATTGGTTAAGATTGAAGCTATGTTACGGAAAATTGGATTTTCTCAACAAAAATGAATGATAATATGAGGCCACTCTTATGATTATATTGCTCAATATTGTATACATTTAATATTTTCTACAGATATAAATGCATATGCACAACTAATCGATGATTCTATTCAGTGCCTAATTTTGTACTTCGTGATTAACATTTATAAAATTAAATATCGTTATCTGTGACAACTTGCATGGAGATTAGGAATTGATTTGTTCCTTAATAACTTGCACCCTTTTTGTTGATCTAGCACGGGCAAACAGAAAACAAAGCATTTGTATATTTAATTGGCGTACTTGAATGGCCCCAGACATCTGGAAAGGATGTTTCAATCGGAGGGTGTTGCCTTTGGAACAAGTGTGAAAACAGGGAGGTGGGTACGGGACATGTGCTACAATTTCACGGGACAGATCATAGAAAAAACAAAATAGATTGTCCCCTGATTGGGAGGCGTGAACAAGTTTATTGCGGTACAGCTGAGCGTATCGGATGGCTATTCAGTGGGATTTGCAAGGCTCACTAGGCATCAATGTGGGACCCCACTATTAGCGGGACCCTTGCCCCAGTATAAATATGGCAGTGCCGCATCTGCCCCCTCTTTGCCATGTTTTCCTTTCGCTCCATCGGCTATTCTTCTTGGTGGTCCTCCGTGTCCGGTTAATCATTCATTAGTGGTAATTCACAACTCTTCTCCCCGCCGAATGTTATTGCGGTTCTCTTGAGCCAATTCAAGAAGAATGATCTACCCCCCGTAGAGGATTAAGTGATTATTCTCAGCCATTTAAACTGCTCATAATAATCATTCAATCGTATACTTTTACAACATACTTGACTTACTTTTTGGAATTTTTATAATCAGTTATTTGAATTTCCTAAAGACCAAAAAATGTTTCATCGAAATCCGAGCATTATTAGTAAAGATATTGCATTTTTAAAAAATATTTTTGGTTTATTTTCAGTTTAAATGGTTATTTATTTAATTTTATAAAAAAAATAGAGATATGTTTTTTATATATATTTTAGGCCAAAGGTCACCAATTATACACATTTTTATATCCTGTATTCTTTATTCGACGTTTCGGCTTCAGGAGACATTTTCCTGCAAAACATGCACCGCGCCATAAAATTTTTAAAATCTATCATTGCAATATGATTCGTCCTTTAGTCATTCTCTTATTTCAAAGAATGCCGTGATGAATATAACGACATTCTTTGAAATTAATATTATGTTTTGCAGGATCTTGAAAATGGCTCCTGAAGCCGAAACGTCGAATAAAGAATACAGGATATAAAAACTGTGTATAATTGGTGACCTTTGGCCTAAAATATACATAAAAAACATATGAGAAAATGGCACCAAACCTGGAGGATAACTCTAGAAAAAAAAATAGAGAGTTTGTAAAAATCCAAATTTAAAACTATATAAAATTGTTAATGGAGCAAAGGTAGATCATCGTTTCAGGTATGTTTTCTTATCACTTTTCTTTTCTAGATAAGTTTGAAATTTTGTTTCATTCATCTTTAAATTCCGATTTCATAGTTTAAAACTGTGCATTTTTTTTTTTTAATTATGTATAAAACGTATTGGATCCAATACTTGTGTGTCTATTACTGGTGCAATAAACGCCATCAGAATTTTCTACGATTTTCATGGATAATAAAATAATAGATTGTATGATGAAAAAAAAATCAATAAAAATTCTAAATATGCTGAGTATTAAACCCATTTGCAAAGATTCACCATCAGAACTAAAGCTGTAGTTCACATTAATGTCAATAATTTATCTTAAAGTGTCTATTACTGGTACACTTACCTGAAATAAATTCCATTTGGAATTACAATAGAATACTAATTATAATTTTAGATTGATTTTAATATTGAACAGACACTTAAAAATTTAATGTAATTTAATCATCTAGTGGAAATAAAATTAATGAACGTTCTCCACTTTTGAACTCATCTTAATACTATTCAAAATTTACTTAATTTTTACTTAAATAATATATCTTTCATGATATTTATGTTAGTGTAATTTAAACATTTTTTCAGATAATTTATTCTTCAATTAATTTATTTTTATATTGGCTATATTGGCTTTTTAAGTTTCAATTTGTTTTTCAATGATTCTAAGCTCTTTTTTATTTTAATATTTTATGAAAAAATTCCCTCTTGCCCTATTGGCATTTCTCTCTGTAATTTTGCAGCCTATCCTTGTTCATAATTCTAAGAGAAATTTCCGCAGCTAATACAAGTTCATCATGAGTCTTTCCTTCAAGAAGTGAAAAAAAAAAAATTACTGACATGTTTTCCTCCAACTTTCACAGAAATAGTTTTTTTGGCCAACCCAATTTTGATGTTTGTTATTCCTAAAACGAGGATTCTCAATCTTTATCAGACGGCTTGATCAAACGCTGGAGTTTGCTAGAAATATTTTTTTCGTTTTGTTCGATTATTTATTATTATTGAATTCTCACTTGAAAAAACTTAAGATATCCTTCATTCTAACAGAGAAGTCCTTACAACACTTTATAGATCATGATTATGCACGGCATAATTGGAAAGTTTAATGGACAACCAATCTACATAAATAGTCATGTTCAATTTGATGTCTGTAAGAAATATATATATTTATAAGAAAGAATCACGTTTGAGAAAAAAATCTAAAATATGGATAAAAGTTTAATTAAGGTCTATAAGGTAACACCAAATAAATAAAAGTGACTTGACATGATCTTTAAAAATATGGGCTAAATTTTAGTTGAAGTCACTTTTTTATACACATTGTAATAAGCTTCTTATAATAGAAGAAAGTAGTTTTAGTAATTCTGAATGCCAAACACGAAAACACTTACTCATAGTTAAAAATTGATAGTAGGGTGAAGAGAGTTGTACCGGGTAACGTCTAGGATAATCTTCAATAAACTGATATTAAATAAAGTGCTCACTTAATCTAAAATGCAATTATCTCCTGCTAAGAAGCTCTAGACAGAAAACTGTCATATATTGATAAGCCTGGAAGTGTTACATGCTAGATAAAATAAACATGAACTTAAAGTATTTCGAAGAACTAACAGTTATGGCTTTTTTCTAACTAGATTTAATATTTGACTCATGTCCATGATACTTATATTTTGGATAATGACGAACTAAGTTGCTCACATAGAGATAAAGATTCTAAATATTATATAATGATATATTATATAATGATGAAAATTTATATAAATATATATATATATATATATATATATATATATATATATATATATATATATAAGATTACACTTGCGTAAATATCGTTCAGCAATTCGCTCCAGACGCCGCACAGTGGGACGAGTAAGGGAAAGCCAGGGACATCGGCTAAATCTATTTATTTATTAACTCCAAAAACTAGATAAACTGTTTTATTGATAACTTCTGGAATTCGTGTGAGTACTTTCAGTTGGCAGAATATTAATTTTTTACTGTTTTTATTGAATAATTCAATTTAAAAAATAACTAGGTTTAGGGGATCTCGCGATTTTTCCCTTACTCATCCCACTGTGCGACGTTCCAGAAAGGGCATTAGGCCAAGTGTCGACAAAAAAATTAAATCTTCACATAAAAATTTACACAACTTACAGTTACGGTCAAAAACATCATTGAGATGGTGGTTTCTGTTATTTAAAAAAAATAAAAAACAATAATTGAGGAAAAAAAACTGTTCCAAACACTTTAAAATATCGGGGTTAAGAAAAAACCGTTTCTTTTATATTACGTAGGTCATTTTATTTGTTTAATAGACTGATTTTACTTGTATACATTACCTCATATAACCGTTAACTCAATCGTTAACTATTAAGAGTTATATATTATTTCTGTTCCATCAATGAACAATATAAAAGTAAGATGATTAAAAACGCAATATTGGAAAATTCGTCATTAACATTATGAACATAAAGAAGATAAGAATAGTTAGGGTGGTCAGTCAAAAAATAATGCAAAAATGAATGATAATATTTATTTTTACATATGCCGACGTTGACTGACCACCACAACTATTCTTCTCTTCATTATCCACGATAGTCAAGCATTTACCAATTATGAATCTATGAACATAAAGCTTTTTATTATATAATTATGTATTCCATAATCTTTACTGAACATTTGGTGCATTGTGTACATATTAATTCTAGTGTCGTTTTTTTAAAAAAATATTTGAAGCTAGTTATTGAACTGAAATTGTAAAATAATCATATTTTACACACACATATATATATATATATATATATATATATATATATATATATATATATATATATATATATATATATATATTTAATTCTACCAAATACATATTTTATTTATTCATTTACCCTTTTTAGTTCTGAGTACTTTACTGCACTTTATCTTATTTTTAATTTTTTTTTTTTAGGATTACACAATTATGTTAGGAATAAGTTTTAATTCATTAATAATTATTGTAAAAAAAATTCTTTTATTGTGTATGGGCTGATAAATACTTTATAAAATATATATTATAGGGATGATTCTAAATCTTAAAAATGAGCAAATATGGCCCGAAGTGTCGTTAAATATTAAAATGAAATAATGTAAAATAAAGCGGTTTGAACTAAAAATGATTTTGAACTGTTTTCCGAAATAATACATTTTGTATTGACAATTCATTTATTCTTTGAAACTGTAATGTTAAGAATTTTATGAAAAAATATATTTTTATTTTACTGTTTTTCAAAATTTATTTTAATTGTTTTTATTTTTTCTGAAGATTTATTTACTATACTGTTGTTAATTTATTTTACTAACTTCCACTTAGTAACTAACTTTCACTAATCCACAGTTATAGACAACGTATCCTCACGGTGTCTTTTGTATGAGACTATACCATCACATTGTCAAGTGTTTAAAATTTTCATATTGTTAAAATACCCATGTATGCATAGGCGCATTCATTTTATTTTGATTGTGTGAGGACGGGGAAGGAGCGCTAAAAAAAAACAAAAAGAAAAATGGTAGGAGTTCTTATTATTTGTAGAAATTCAAAATAGTTATCGTGAAACGAACAATTATAACACTGAATATTTAAAAATTAATTTATCTTTGCATGTATATATATTTCATACCCTTGCATATACTTGAAAATATCTTTCTTTTTTTCATAACCCCAATAATATAATATCTGTTTAAATTAAATGAATTATGACATTTGACTAGTTATATATTATATGCCTTTCCCTGTAACTGTGTTATATTTTAAGGCATTAACGTACTTTTATCTAGCTGAAAGAGCCCATCCATTCAAAATATCTGAGAAAAAAAAATTTACTTGGTTAAGCTATTGGTAGAAGATTTCCTCATATATATTTGATTAAAAATTAAAATTAAAATCCAAAATTTATGTTGCCTACTTAAAATAATATAGACATGATTTTTTTTTCAAACAAATAAATATATATATATAAAAATAATCTGTCAGTAAATTATTTAGAGAAATATTTCATTTCTAATCGCACACTTTTTCTTTTTTTTTTTCTTTTCAAGAAATTACAGAGACGATGAACAATATTTCTTCCATCTTAATAATCAATTCTATTATTGTTTTTAATTCATCAGAAGAGATACAAAAAAAAAACTCCTAATGGAGTGATCCATATGTTAGCATTTATCACTACAAAAAACAGTTGGAATTTCTAAATGCCAAAAAAATCTAATTACATTTTCTATAAAAAAACAAATTACAAATAAATATTTATCAGATTAAACGTAATCAGGTAATATTTATATATGAGAGTGTAACGGATGATTCGTAAAAATATACTCCTTTGTTTGGATACATGCTCACTGAACCAGTGAATTAATTGATACAGGAGATTGATGGGGAGCCACAGCAGACAGAAAGGAAAATCAAACACTGAGGCCAGGGCGCGGGATTAAATAACAAAACAGATTTTTGCCCTGTCACACATCAGGTGTCCAATCACAGGGGGTTATTTACCACCACTTCGGCAAACAGAATCCAAATAACATTACATTCGAGTAGCGGCAAAGAACACTAATAAATCACTAAAACAGTCCCGCCGCCCAAACAAAAATAGCCTCCCACTTTGGTCCATTCGCTACGTTCTAATTGACCCCGAATGCTCGCCATTATTTGGAGTGCGAATTATACTCAAGCTCTGATTACTGAATCATATGTCCCTTCAATATTGGATAAATCAGCAATGCGGCGTGAGGCCTGTTTATGTTTCGGTCCAATCTATGTTATGGACCGGTGTTAGTGACTTCTGCCTTCACATGGAATTTTGTGATATTTTCTCTAAATTATAACGTTATAAAAAGAGGTATACATTAGTAATAATGACTTACAAAAGCAGTTAGGAAATATTGTCATCGAAATAACATTTAGCTAATTCCGAAACGTAGTTAGGAAAGAAACCAATGTTACTGTTTTTTTAACTCAAAACAGAAGAAACAAGTATTAAATCTTGCAACGAATGCAAAAATTAGGGAACTGATTTATTGAAATGAAAAATGATCAGTTGACTGGAAGGCACGGGGTAATTGAAACCGAAAACCCGATATCTCCACACATCTCTTCATCGAGGCACACATCCAAGTTCATAGTGAAATAAGAGATCAAAGCATGATTTTTAACTATCTCTCCAAGGTTTTCAGCCACTGTTTATACTGCATTGTTATCCCCTCGTTTCTGAAAGGAGCCATGATCACAGAATATTAGCTGTTTAGATATTTTTGTTTTTTCATCTTTAACTCCTTAAGAGAATCGAAACAAAAACTTACTCTTCGAAAAATTAAAGAACGTTATATCTTGTTTCGAATGAGTACCTAAACTTAAGAATTTGGGAAAGTAATATGTTGTAATACGATCCTTAAGTTACTGCCCTAATATTCTTTATGTCTGCCGCTATTTTTTAAAGTAGTAGCTGACAGACAAGCTTCATTTTACTTAGAATAACACATACTTTCGTAAATTACACTTTTTAGGTCCTGACTCCAGAAAACTCTGCTTTCAATGCAAACCTAGAATACCTGCTATAACTTGTTTTTCTTATTGTTCCTCTGCCTGATGGAGCAGGTTGAAGATACTTATTCAGTTTTCAGTTGTTTATTATTATTCTTTATCGTGTTTCAGTTGACGAAATTAAGTTCGGAGTGAGCCGGCTGATGAAGGAGGACGACAAGGACTCGGACGAGGGCCGGAAGAACGACGTGACGACGATGACCTCCCGGGAGTCCTCCCCGGAGCTGGAGGTGGACTCGCCTCCTCCTCGCTTCAAGAGCTCCTCCTTCTCGGTGTCGGCCCTCCTCCGCCCGGACCTGCCCCGCCGGCCCCCTCCCATCTACCACCCTCTGGGTCTCTTCCCGCTCTACCACCCGGCCCCCAAGGAGGACGCCAATAGGAACCTCCTTGCAGGGTCTCTGTACCTCAGCCTGGGAGCTGCCGCCGTCATGGCCAACACGGCGGTACCCAGTGGTATGTCTTTGCAATTATTTTTATAGTTTACTTTTTTTTAATTAATATTTCTATTTACAGATATTTCAGTAAAGATGAAAAAAATTTACAATTTTACTATTGCAAAATTAGAAATTAAAAACCTTAAACGTATTGACCAAAGCGTTTATAAAAAAAATGTTTCACCCATGCTAACTTAAGTTCCAATACGTCGGCGGTACCCTCTCTTTTTTTTTTTATCAAATTATTAATACTCGGCTAAGACTTCATGAACACCATCATCTTGTAACCTACAGCTTTTGTATTGACAGAAAAAAAAGCTGTTCTCTATCTGAAGATTAATAACTTTTTTTCTATTTAATGAAGAACTGAAAACTCAAGCGAAAAGCATATGTGTGTTCATGTGTTTTTAGTACTTAATTAAATAGACAAAGTTTAACCATCTCCTGATTTCTGAGAATTTTCGTAAATAAAAAATTGGTTGGTTAATATAAGACAAAGTGATTAAAATCGATTTGGGTGTACTTTGGAAATAAACAACTCATATGCAAGTAACACTTGATATAAATAAACGTGTCTTAACTCAGTTCTAGTTAGAATTTTTCTCTAATGGATACTTCTAAATATGCAAACGATAAAATCTGATAATGGTATTTAACTGAAATTTAAAGAATAAAGATTTACTGGAGCGTATCTTTATTTCTTCCATTTTATTTTATATGCCTTTATACCCCTTGTACTCAGTGCCAGCCTTAGACATTCTGCGCCCCTGCGCAAGGACATCATCTCTTCACCACTCCAAAAAAAAATTCAATTTATTTCTTAAGCTCTTTTATTTGTGATAATTGAATTTTATTTCATTCAATATTTTTCCACAGTTGCTTTATTGAAAGGCTAAAATTAATTATTTGAATACGTTTTTTATTTCTAAGAAGTGGCGAGCGCCCCTGTAGATCGGGCGGCGCCTCCAACGGGCGCCACTCCTATTGCGTTGCCCCTCCTTAAGGCCGGCACTGCTTGTACCACTGATCCCCCGACCTTGCTATTTCGCTAACGGAACTCTGAGACAGATTGGTTTATAGTCTCGATGACGATCCCACCAGGTTCTTCGTCGCTCCTCCCCGGCACCGCGCCGGACGACCTGTACCGATTGCGGCAGCAGCTGCTCGCTGGGTCCAGCCACCACGAGCACCACTTCCTCAGCCCGGACGTCTACTCCTGCATCAAGTGCGAGAAGATGTTCCCCACGCCGCACGGCCTGGAGGTCCACTCGAGGAGGTCCCACAACGGTAAGCGGCCCTTCGCCTGCGAGCTCTGCAACAAGACCTTCGGGGCCGAGGTGTCGCTCTCTCAGCACAGGTGAATAGTCTTATCTCAGCTTTCCTACAACTTCCATTATTATTATTTAGTTTTTTTGACCATTTTATATTAACAAGGATCGATCCATTATTTTTTTATTGGGTATCGTACGTCCAGGTAACAAGTAATGACGTGTACCTCTTATACTAGCATTTATATATTTTACTCATTGTAATTTTACCCTCGTTAAATTTTATATTGCAAGCTCTGGTCACGTACATAGACCAAGATCAGCAGAACAACTGAATATCGAAATTTAATGCGAAAAAAATCAGTTAAAGTGACTTTACGAACTAGGTAAGTTTAACAACAAGCAAAAATTTACAGTTCTTCAGCTTAAACGATATTTTTTAGTTATTTTTTCCATGTTGTCTAAATTTATATCTACTCATTTTATGTATGGCAACATATAGTGAATGGTCAGTGAAAAAGAAAGCAACATCCTTGAAATAGGTTATAAATATGTTATATTATGTTATTATAGTAAGACCTGGGAAAAAGTATTTAATTATTATTTTAACAGTATTTAAAATACCAAGCATTTTGCGTTTACACAAAGTATTTAAACGGTTTTTCAGAAAAAATATATCAAATACAAAATACTAAACGTATTTTGCATTTTAGTTACAAAATAAAAACACTAACGTCTCTTGAAGAAGGGTTTGACGACTAATTCCTTAAAATATAAGTCTATTTTTGAGAAGAAATGAATTATGAGATAAGAAGAAATTGTATATACTTAAAAAAGGTATCTTTTTTCTTTGCTAATACGTACATGAAAATATTACAAAAGAAAATAGGCATATTTTTTTCCTAGCTAAACATCTATATTTTTATTTGCTTATTTAACAAAATATACTCTTAAACCCTTTCCTATGACAAGGCACTGGAGTGCTGCTTAATTATTTTAAGGATAATCAATTTTGACTTCGCTGAATTTACATCCTCAAGAACCTACTCAATTCGGTAATTTATTTAGTATGTTTAAAATACAAAATAAAATATATTCATTACATTTTAGTAGTATGGATAGAAAACTCAAATACTTTTTCGTATTTTTCATCTTAAAGAGAAAATACAATTACAAACAATGTGTTTTATATTTGATTATAAAATAATACATACGAAATACTGCCCAGGTGTGATTATATCGACTGTGAACTATATTTGATTGACGTGTATGGTTAATATAACGTTCCTAAGCCTTAAAACGAAATACTGTTATACCAAAAGCCTCTCTTGATAAATAGTCTATATAAGACAACAAATTATTTGTTTTTTCAAATCGGGCAAGTAATTTCTGAAATTAGTGCTTCCAGATAAATTAGCTTTTCAGTTTTACTTTATTAAGAATTAAAATAATTGAATCAAGCCGAAGAAGAGGTGCTACTGGTTGTGAGTAGCACCTTTCTCCATGTCATAATTTCCTAAATCTTGATCATAAATAACGATTTTCTCTCCCTTATAAATCTTGATTTTCTTGATGTAAGAACATGAATTTTCATTTTATTGTTCGATATAAAAGCTTTTCATAGCTTTAAAGATAGGTATCAATAAACCATCCATTCATGTAAAATATTAGAATGATGTCCGATTTAATGATTTGATGATCATCCAATCTGGTCATCCAAAACTTGGCCCTCAAAGTGGTATAAAAAAATGAATATATTGCTATCCAATTTTTTTTCCACAGCTTTATCTATGAGGCAAAGACCACTCAAAATAAGAACATACTAAACGATCACAGGTGGTTGTGCTGCCGTAGGTCCGTCCACTCTGTGGAGAAGGTCTTCGAGTGCAAGCAGTGCGGCAAGACGTTCAAGCGCTCCTCGACCCTCTCGACCCACCTCCTCATCCACTCGGACACGCGGCCGTACCCCTGCCAGTACTGCGGCAAGAGGTTCCACCAGAAGTCCGACATGAAGAAGCACACCTACATACACACCGGTGAGTCTTATTCTCTAAACTGATACTTTATATCTAAAATTCTTCATATTTCAAGCTTTTTAATATACCTCCATGTATCTAAAAATTTACTTAGCACAAGTTCGACTTTCGGGATCTCACGGAAATTATTTCAAGTAGGTGTAGATATTTATGTGGCGAGTTTCCAATTATTCTACTGATAAATATATGAGCGGGTACATGGTACCTACTTAATACGGCAAATTCAATAATGCGAGATCAATGATCATGCATGGACTATATAATCGGTGGGGAATTATTTTCTTATCAGAATCCACATTTAGGTTAGGTAGTAATAAAGGAGGTCGCACTTAATTTTCGGTCAGGTAGGATGAATGCACCAGTTATTGATAGGAGGCCCAGTAATGGCCAGGCTGGACTTTAAATGTAAATAATAACCATCATTTTTTAATTAAAGATTCCAATTTTTTTCTAGATCGAAGAACAATGAACCTCTATTGACAACTGTATGAACAAAGTTTCCAAAAGAAAATTTTATCATTTTATTCTTATCATTGTTTTTTCTATTGTGCTTTTGAGATCAGTGAGTTTCAAACCTTCCTACTAACACTTTTGCTAAGAGTTAGTTCAACATTTATTTTATATTATCTTTATCGATATCTTTATAGTCAAATAAAGATTTTCGAATTTTTCTGAGCCGACCCCCTGTCCACTATACATATTACTAAAATAAGCACATAGATCGAAAACAGACTTACGTTATAGTGATTATGTTATAAATAAATAAATGTAAAAGTCCAAACTATAAAGAGTCTCTAACATATGGAAGAAGAACAGTTAATCTGCCAACGTATGTTAGAGATGCCTATATAGCAGGATTAGAAATCCATAATTAAAAAAATCAAAATCAGATCTGATTAAAATTTTTAAAAATCATTTGATGATTTTTATTAAGAGCGATTTTTATTTTTGATTATGAGTGATAAAATAATATTCTGATCATTATTTTCATTTTTTTTTTACAATCAACAATAATAATAATTCTTGAGTAATACTTTTTTAAATCAGCAATATAATTGTTTTGTAATCTGTATGATATATTTTGAGTCTGGAATAGTCGGTGGAGAATATTGTTGTCAACTATCAGCAACAGAACATCTTTATTCCCCAAATTTATTAGAAATTTTGGCTTACAAATATATATACAGTGCAGGTAACGCGTGAACAATTTAAGAGATTTCAGATACGTAATATTACAAAATCTGTACATTAATAACATATACATACACGTTAATATTTAATTTAATTTGTGTGTACAAGATGATATTTTCTGATCAAAATATTTTCGATCACAACTTAATCATTATTATATGTGTAAAACGGTTTCACTCAGTGATCGATCATTATTGTTAATCAAATAAATAAATATGAAAGATCGATTTAAATTTGTATTTATAAATCAGGTATGACTTTTAAATTAAAAATCAAATATAATAATTATTAAATAACTTTCTGGAAAAAAATAGTTATTGATTTCAAACTCTGCTTTATAGTTTAGATTTTTCAATTTATAAGATAACATTTATTATTATTAAATTTTAATACTGGCATAGAGATAATAATTATTAATTTTCCTGAAGCAAACGCTCCGCTCAGGCCCTCAACTCCTCTGAGAACAATAAGTCTCTATACGTAAACATGAGGTGGTGTTATATAAAAAAAAAATACATTATGCAAATTGGATATAAAATAATATTTTAAAATTATTCTTGGAGTGAGGTAAATAAGAGTTAATAAAGCCGTGTGAGGTGGACCCTAGCGTGCGCCCTCATCAGCATATTTACCCAAGCGCTTACCTCCCTGCCTCCCTGCCTCCCTCCCTCCCTCCCGCCAGTGCTAAATGAATTACTCACGGCTCCCTCATAACCGCATCGCTTAAATGATTATTTCACCGCTATATTTGTACTTCCGTCCCTGCCTCCCCGATCTCCATTGCTGAGTAAGTCCTCTCCACCAGCGCCAATTTATATCATATTAAACGGCTAATTGTTTCTAATGGATAGAGGATCTTGATAGCATCTGCGGGCCTTTTTAAAAAAAGTTAGATCGGAATCTTCGTAACTAAAAAATATAATCGATGCAGCTGTGTAAATAATGAACACTCGTGATTGTGACCCCCCGGAAACAATCAAGATTCAATGAACGGAACGAGAAATAATTTAACATAGCATATTTCTCCGATCGCATCTCTTTATTGAAATAGACAGTTGACCTGCCATCAGGTTATTTTTTTCAGTTTATCTAGAAGATGATAATATTTTTTTGTAATTCATACAATGTTATTCTACAATTATCTTCATACACTTATACAATAAATATATTGGATGGACAAAAGATATTTTTTTATTATATTTACCAAAGAAAAATGTTGAACATTAAATTAAATATGTATTTTGCAAATTTTTTGCAATGAGCAAATTTGTTGGCAGCTTCACAGTGTCTCACCACATCCAGGATATAAATCAGGTCAGCAAGTCTCTTGGCCAACGCTTACTTATTCATCGTGGTGGCTGTATGGGTTTCTTGTACTTCGAAGGATTTCTAAATATGAAATTTCGACATATAAATTCCAACTTCGCCTAACTTAATTTTTTCTTACAATGAACTCGGCAGCTAATTGGTTAACTTTATTCACTTCCGATTGAATGGAAACAACGCACGTGCCAAATTTATGTTTTAAGACTGTATGTCATTTATTTTTCTGCCTATCAACGTAGAGTAGCATCTGTCCAACGGAAACTATCCTTTCGGTTTTGTGCCAACATCTCCACTTCTCCTGTGTTTTTCAATCTTTTCTAAATTACCAGTGTGGTGAAATATTCGTCGTATGATATAAAAAAAAAAAAATGACTAAGGTGTGTTCTTTAGACCACAGGATAGAAGTGACAACATCAACAAGGCGAGACTAATGATATGAAATATAAATTATAAATAAGAGCCCATTACAGAGAGGATTAAATGCTGAACGATTCCCTCGCTTGCTGTATGCAAGTCTGAGTTTTAGTTTCTGAGATATTTTAATTCATATCTTCAATAAAACTCGTTATCATTTGGTTTTCAACACCATTTTTTCCTTTTCACCTTTCTAACATGGCGTCGCGTTATGATACAATTTTGAATAATAGCCCATTACAGAGAGGATTAAATGGTGAACGATTCCCTTGTTTGCAGTATGCAGGTCCGACTTTTTGTTTAGTTTTTGAGATATTTTAATCCATAAGCATATAAAAACACTGCAATTAGTCGTAGTAAATTAGACATCGGAAATCTGGCGGCTCAATGTAATTCATTCTCCAAAAAAAAAAAAAAAAAAAAAAAATATGTCCGAACCACTTAATAAATAAATTAATAATTTGTCTTCTATGGAAGGTGGTTTTCGATGAGTGAATGACCAACTGTTTCCTTATCGTCTCTTTCCTGATGTGTCCTCTTCCTGTCTTGAGAGCCATTCGGCGAAGATATTTCATTTCCATTGCAATTAGACGATCCATCTTTCAGAGCTATTAAGCATAGTCAGCAGATAACTTAAAAGATGCAGAACTTGATCGGAGACCTCTCTCTTCAAATTGCTGTATTACATATTTGGTGATGGGTTTTATTTGCTTTAATAATTCTTCTTAACACCTTTTCCCTATGCTCGTAGCGTTGCTAACGAACATACCAAATTTGGAGATTCTTCCATAACCCCTAGCTCCTCGCCGTTACAAAAGAATTGCACATTCTCCTATACGAGTTAATGATCCTTTTCTCAGATGTTCTCCTTGACATTCGACCAGTGACTACTGAATTTTTCTTCATCATTCGAGGTATGAACAATAGATCTGTCCGTTTCCACTTCTTTAAATAAGGCGTCGCAAAGCTTTATAATGTTAAAAACATATGATTAAAATTTCTTGCGAAATATGATAATTACAAAAAATAAATATGTACCTCTGCCCGAACACTAGCAAAGAAATTGAATATCTTTACCCGTGCTAATGATTCTATCTCAATAAAAATAATAGGTGAAACGAATGAATTCAAGTTATACTTAGTTTTATTATTTTGTTCACGTGTTCTGCATTTATCAGCTTCCATAAGACTCAGAAATTACATACAGTGAAGATATTTCTAAATTAACATTAAACAAGTAATAAACCTACCATAAAATAACAAATATACACCGTAGGGAGTAAAGAGCTTTTTTTTTTATTACAAATTCTGAATGTGAAAAAAGTAGAAAATTATGAACACTCTGGATCTTTCATTTGTATAGTTGACATTTCGATGACATATTTTGACTAATTGTTCTGATCCAAAACTTACAGTTTCTAGAATTTTATTTGAAAAAAATATAATAAATAAATTCAAGCAGATTCGTTGTTTTCATAACTTTAAAAGACATTATTTATATTTATTTATTGTTAAATAAATACAATAGTAACTTTTCCACCTAGAAATTACTGTGAGCCTTTATTCTACCAATAGTACAATTCACAATAATGTTTGGATTTTTAAAATTTTGTTAAGATTTTTCCACCTTTGCTCTAAGTAGTATAGATCGTAGCCCTTTCAGATTCTCCTAATCATTGCATTTGCTTCGAGTTGTAAATGAGAAGTAATAATAACGGAAAGAAGTCTTGTGTTAGTAAAAAATGTTTTATACGACAATCTTGAACGTTATATCTAAATGCAACAAAAGAATTGGGAGTCGATAACTGCTAATATCGTAGTCAACAGACCATTTATATGAATAAACGAATGAGATTTAAAATATCAAAAATCATAAATAAAAACAACATAAAACAAACAAAACTAACAAATATAAATAAAACGTTATACTGAAGTTTCATTAGTAATAATAGAAAGCTTCTAATTATTCTTAAATACACGTCTTGAGCACGTTTTCCTTATATTTACAAGTTGTTATCTTAAATGTAATTAGGGTATTCTCAATGCTCTCGTTAATCTTATAAAGATAATTCCGCATTAACTGCAATCGCAA